CACCAAGAGTACTTGGGAAATGATGCAGTGACTGTCACTGGCAGCATTATCTGTCTCATATGGTCCGTGAGGGTAGGCATTTTCCTTTGTGGAAAAAAATGATAACAATTACATCTTTCACTCTGTAATTTTTGCAAAGCATTTTTATGAATATTTATTCCTTGAGAGAGAGAGCAGAGCTGCAGCGATGATTTAAGGGATAGATACAGATATAGGCATATGGAGCTCTCGAAGCTGCACGGAGGGAAGTGGCAAAAAACAAGGCACCAGGAATTGAGGGGATACCCATTGAGATGTTTCAACAAATGGATGCCACACTAGAGGCACTCACTCAGCTATGCCAAGAGATTTGGCAGACTATCTGGCCAACTAACTGGAAAAGTTCCTCATTTGTACCCATTCCAAAGAAAAGCGATCCCACAGAATGTGGAAATTATCGAACAATATCATTAATATTCCATGCAAGTAAAATCTTACTGAAGATAATTCAAAAATGGTTGGAGTAGTATATTGACAGAGAACTTCCAGAAATGCAAGCTGGATTCAGAAGAGGATGTGGAACGAGGGATATCATTGCTGATGTCAGATGGATCTTGGCTCAAAGCAAACAATACCAGAAAGATGTTTACTTGTGTTTTGTTGACTGCAAAGGCATTTGATTGTGGGGATCATAACAAATTATGGACAACATTGAGAAGAATGGGAATTCCAGAACACTTAATTGTGCTCACGAGGAACTTGTACATAGACCAAGAGGCTATCATTCAAACAGAACAATGGGACTGCATCGTTTAAAATCAAGAAGGGAGTGCATCAGGGTTGTATCCTTTCACCATACTTATTCAATCTGTATGCTGAGCAAGTAATCCCAGAAGCTGGACTATATGAAGAATGTGGCATCAGGATTGGAGGAAGACTCATTAACAACCTGCATTATGCAGACACCACAACTTTGCTCACTGAAAGTGAGGATGACTTGAAGCACTTACTGATGAAGATTAAAGACTACAGGGTGTAGTATGGATTACACCTCAATATAAAGAAGGCAAAAATCTTCACAACGGGACCAATAAGCAGCATCATGATAAATGGAGGAAAAGATTGAAGTTGTCAAAGACTTCATATTACTTGGTTCAACAATCAACACCAATGGAAACAGCAGTCAAGATATCAGATGTTGTATAGCACTGGGCAAATCTACTGCAAAGGACCTCTTTCAAGTGCTGAAGAGCAAAGATGTTTCCTTGAAGACTAAGGTGTGCTTGACACAAGCCATGGTATTTTCAATCGCCTCATATGCATGTGAGAGCTGGACAATGAATAAGGAAGACCAAAGAAGAGTCAGTGCTTTTGGGCTGTGGTGTTAGTGAAGAATGCTGAAAGTACCATGGACCGCTAAAAGAACTAACAAGTCTGTCCTAGAAGAAGTGTAGCCGGAATGCTCCTTGGAAGCAAGAATGGCCAGAGTTTGTCTCACCTACTTTGGCCATGTTGTCAGAAGGGACCGTTCCCTGGAGAAAGATACCATGCTTGGCAAAGTGGAAGGACAATGAAAAAGGGGAAGGCCCTCAACCAGATGGATTGACACAGAGGCTGCAACGATGGTCTCAGGGATAGCAAACATTGTGGGACTGGCACTGGGCCGGGCAGTGTTTTGTTCTGCTGTACATGAAGTCGGTATGAGTTGGAGACAATGCAATGGCACCTAACAACAACAACAACAACATAGTGTAGTGGATGAGGCATTTGGCTGCTAAGCAGCAGATTAGTGGTTCAAATCCACCAGGCACTCCACAGAAGGAGGAGGGGGCAATCTACTTCTGTAAAGATTTACAGCCTCAGAAACCCACTGGGGGCTGCTCAGAGTCAGAGTCAACTCAATGGCAGTGAGTGAGTGCTGTCTAGCCAGCTGTATACAGAGATACACAGAGAGCGCTTCATGAGGACAGTGGTGGTTCTGTGGCAGAGTTTCGCTCCTGACGGTGCACCTCGTGCACAGCCACCAGCCATCTGTTGGTGGAGTCGTGTGTGTGGCTCTGATGCTGAACAGGTTCAGTGAAGCTTCCAGGCTAAGACTAGGAAGGAAGGCCTGGTGATCTGTTTTCAAAAATCTGTGAAAACACTATGAATACAATGGTCTGATCCACAGCTGATCCTGGGATAGTGCAGGACTGGGATCTTATGCATGGGGTCACCAGGAACTGGAGGTCTACTTGATAGGAGCCAACAACAACAATGGAATGCTTGGCATGGTGTGTAGCATGTACGAAACACATTATAAGTGTTAAAATTGTTATTGCTGTGATTATTTTTCTGCCCTTTTGGCAGATGAGTAGACTGAAGCTCCAAGAAGGCAGTGGATGGCCCCAGGGGTGAAAGCAAGGGAGGCAATGGAGCCTGGATTTGGACCTGTGTTTGGCTCAACATCCCATGCTGCCTCTGGTCTAGTGATTCTAACTAAGCTTGAGGATCATGGACACAACCTCTGGGCTTGGTGGGTGAAGGAAATTTTGCCACAGTTTCTCTTACATGGTGCTTCAGTGGACCCTGGCGATGCGGGGCTCTCACAGTGTTGACAGAGCAGGGCACAGTTTAGCGGTGAGAGGTTGGCCCCAGAACTTGCCAGAACTCTGCCTTGTGGGTATGTCAAGAGCTTGGTCCTCACAGCAGTTTTCACAGCGAGTGCTGAAGCCGTCACCAGAGTGATGACTATGGGTGCACTACACACACCATGAGGCGGCATCATTATAGGGGTCCCAGGCAGCTGTCTTGCTGCTGGTGACGTTTTGAGTCTTTAATTCCTCCAACTGTGCCAGTAAAAAGATGTGAGGCCTCAGAAGTGCCTGTCTCGTGGATGCTGTCAGCGCTGCATGGTACGGTCAGGGTGGTGGCCAAGGTTAGCGCCAAGCTCCCTCTGTGCAGAAGACCTCATTGTGAGGAGGGCTTGTTTATTCTCTTGAAGGCAGTCTCCCGCACCTGTCGGGAAGCGCTGTCTGCCTGCCTTTCAGGGGAGGTGGCATCCATCTCCCTCTGGCATGAAAGATCCGCTTTAATTGGCTGCCAGGGCGTCCCTACCATCTAATGATGCTCCCGAATGCATCCTTTTCCTGTCACTGTCTCCCAGCTCCCCTGTCAACTCCAGCTCTGTTAACACAAACAGCCAGTTTACAAGCCCAGGAAATGTTCGGTGATTATAATAATTGGCAGTGGAGGAGAGAGAAGCCATCTGACAAGGAATAAAGCAGTCTGGTTTTGAAGTAAATGGGACGTCGAGAGTCTGAATGACCACATTTTACCAGCCTTTAGGAGAGAGTGTGTAATGGCCCAGAATGTTCCGAAAGAACAGAGAAGACTAACCTTAATCTAGAAAAGGTTAGCTGTTTGTCTTAACAAAACGAAACAAGATACTTACCTCCAGCTGTGTCCAGAGATAATATCAGCTATACAAAACAGCCTTTTTCTTCTTTAATCAAGATGAGCACTGATTTTTCTTTAAGGATCTGAGATGTTGAATTCTGCTACCCCCCAGCCACTCTTAAGGAGAGGGTTTTTTAATTTTTTCTTCCTAAAGAAAGGTTGTGACGGCTGCTGAATGCGGGCTCCTCTTATTGCTTGTGGTTTTGTGGTTTGAGAAGTGCTGCTGTAGCACCATTCTGGGCATCAAGAGAGAAAAAGGGGGGTATGACCCCCAAACTTCATCTGTCTCCTCAAAGAGGAGTGACTCCCAAAGAAGGTGATTTGGAACACAACTCCCATGAGATGCTTTTGAAAAACAGAACTCTGTGGTCTAAACAGATTTGGGGACTGTACATGCTCTAGCTTGAAGAGTCATGGTGGCTATTTGCTTAGTAAAAGCCCTGATAATTCCTGCAGCAAGAAAAGAAAAAAAAAAAAAAACAAAAACACCCTGTTACTGTTATGTTGATTCTGGCTCGTAGTGACGTGACCCCATGTGTATCAGAGTAGAACTGTGCTCCACAGAGTTTTCAGTGGCTAGTGTTTTTTTTTTTTTTTTTTTTTTCTGAAGATCACCAGGCCTTTCTTCTCAGGCACCTCTGTGTGGAGAGGTCCCTTTTGGTTAGCAGCTGAGAATGTTAACTGTTTGCACTACCAGGGGACTTCCCCTGCTGTAAGGCACCTTGTTTCACTTTATTTAAAACAATCTTCCTTGATCACAGAACTCTTTTTGGCAATTTGATGAGCCCTGGTTTGGCTTCTTCTATATCTAGGGGCTTCCTGCTGGGGATGGGTCAGATAGATGGGACATTTGTCTGTTGACAGCCCAGAAATTTCCCAGCCTGTGGAACCAACCAAACTTCCCTTGCCAGCCTGATGGAACCTGAGTGGCAGGCTGAACAGGCTGCTTGGAAGAAGCTTTGCAGTGGGGGAGAGATGCTAAATGTCTTTAAGGCACATGTGGGGACTGGGCAGGGCGTGGGCCCAGATCAGGCTAGTTTCCTAGGAGATGTGTACATTGGTGAAATATGGGAGGTGCCCTTGAAGATCAGCTGAGCAAAAGCATGGGGGTTCCTGTGTGTTCTGCTGAAGAGTTTGAGTTTTAGGTTAAGAGCAGAAGCCCTTCTGGCTCCTTCATAAACCCATCAGAGAGTCACATAGGACCCTTCTTTGGGGTAAGGATCCAAAGTGAGATCTCTTCTTAGGACCCCCTGGGGAGACTCTAGGTTAGGTCCTGTGTCCAAGTTGGCTCAAGCAAATGGATCAGGGACATTTTCTGATCTTGTCTTTGAAGTTCCTGGGTCTTGTATAGTGTTTCTTACAGGGTTGTAGTCTGAGAAAATATTACTTTCTAAAAAAACACTGTGGAAACTAACTTTTTAAGTACAATTGGCTCCATCTCAGTTGACCTCAATTCCTACCAGAAAAATTCAGAACAAGATGCTTGCTTCCTTGTGGCCTGTGACGTCACCTCGAATATCCCAAAGCTGTATTCTTACCTGACCCCAAGAGGGCCTTAACATCCCTGCTTTCTCTTCCTCTAGGAGCTCGTAGGCGAAGTTTTCCGAGAAACACTCAGCGAGGAGGAGGAGGAGGACTTTCGACTGGAAGGTACTTGAAGTCCGTTGCTCTCTTCCTGGAGCAGTGAGGTGGCGGGAGGGAGGGTGTGGTCTACCATTTGCCCCTGGTAATCTCCAGAAAACCTAAAGATGAGGCTAAGGACAAGGAGTCTTGACTCTCAGTGAGGGGAGTGGGGTGGGGTGGGGTGAGATGGGCGTGAGGAGCAGGAGAGAAGGGCAGCTCTTCACAGGTCCAAGCATGAATTGGAGCCAGCCCACCCAGTTCCCATTCTGGCTCTCCTCTGTATTAGCTATAGGGCCTTGGACAAGTTGTCTAACTTCAGCTAACCTCCTCTGGGGGTATAACAGTAGCTACCTCCTAGGGCTGTGTGTGAAGCCCCTTACTACATGAAGTAGCTATTGCATTTCTCCATTCACATCACTCATGCGGTACACAGGGTGTGTGCACACACACATGCACCAGCTGCCTCTCCCCTCTCTCCGCTGTGGCTCTTACTCCTTCTTTTCTTCAAGAAGCGTCATGTCACAGAAAGATACTGAACTAGAGGGCTGGCTGGCCAGTGGCCTGCTGGTTAGACTTTAGGCCACACACCTTTCTGAGCCTCAGTTTCTACATTTGTAGAATGGGAATGAGCTTTTTGCCCACTTAACTCCCAGAGTGGGTGCAGGGAGTGGATGATATCTTGAAGCTGAAGGCGTTTGCTGAATGGAATAGTGTTTTCATTTTTTATTCAGAATCAGGGAAGGGAATTGTCCAGGTGGCATACCCATGGACAGTGAGGACTGCTCTGCTGAGACAAGGGCAGGCAGCTGACTGGAGAGCTGGGAGGCCATGGCCCACTGGTCACTGAGGAATCTACACCTTGAGGTTCTCTGGGGCCTCAAGAGGAGAACAGATAGTGTCAGGATGTTCCCCGGGGGAGCCGAGGCCAGAGCTGAAGATTGTGGTCACATCTGGCCTGGGAGCTGTTAGAAATGCAGACTCCAGCTTTATCCCAGACCCGCTGGGTCAGAATCTGCATGTTGACAAGCTGCCCAAGTGATCTGAATACATACTGAATTTGAGAAGCACTGTTCTAAGAGATTCTCTCAGTTGCCTGGAAGTTGGAAGCAGACTGGGGATCATGTTTTGTCAAGCATGATACCATAGTGGGCCAAACCTTGCTCAAATACAAGCAGGTCTCACGGACAGAAAGCTTTGTCTACCTTTGAGGTGTTTCCTTTGCATGTGTTTACCTGTGGAACTAGTGCTTGCACCCACGGATTCAGTGGCTATGATTTCCATCATTCCCTGTGCTCCTCCAAGCCTCAGCTCTCATCCTTGGCTCTGAAGAGAGATGCCAGAATTTGGTGCCTAGAAGAGGGCTGCAGGATGTAAGCTCTGGGTATTGACATTGATTCATGGACTTACACACTCATTCCATTTATCTCATTACTCACTCATTCACATGGTGACTTATTGACAAGTTCATTCTTTTATCCATCCATCACCCATTCACTATCCAGCCTCCCAACCACTCATCTATTTCTTTCCACCTATCCGCCCACACATCCATGACTCCATCCATCCATCCATTACTCCATCTGTCATCCACTCATCCTTCCTATTGTCTGTTCATTCATCTACCTACTCTTCCATCAGCCAGTCATACCTCATCCTTCATCCATCAACCAACCATCTTCCATCCTTCATCCATCCATTGATTTATCATCCATCCACTCATCCCTTAATCCATTTAACCATCTTCCATTTATTCTTTCTTCTATAGTTCTATTTGTCTTTCCATTAAAGGAGCCATAGTAGTACAATGGTTAAGAGTTCCGACTGCTAACTGAAAGGTCAGTGGTTCAAACCTACAAGCCATTCCATGGGTGAAAGATGAGGCAGTCTGCTCCCATAAAGATTTGGAGCCTTGGAAACCCTATGGTGCAGTTCTGCTCTTCCGTAGGGGTTCTATGAGTGAGAATCAACTCAGTGGCAGTGGGTGTGGTGGTCTTTCCATCTACTTATCATTTATTGGATCATTGGTTAGTTTATTGGTTAGAGTAAAAAACTAAGTTCTTTTCTATTTCATTGAGGCTAAGCCTGAAATCATGTCATGTCATTTGTTTCAAATTAGATGTCTTTACCTGCGAATGAACATGAAATGACCTGCCCCTGGAACCCACCTACCTCTGAAAGGGAGGGTCCCTTTGCTTAATGTCTCTGTTCAGAGCATTAACCCTTTTGTGAAACAGAAGTGGCACTGGGCTAGGAGCCTGAAGAGCTGGCTCCCCTCCCACCTGGGGCAGTGCCTTGTGATCTTGGGCTGGTCCCTCCTTCTCTGGGCCTCCCCCTCCCACTCTATAACATGGTTAGGGATGTGAAGCTGGACTGAGCACTCAGAGGATGTAGGCAATGTGCAGGGAGGACACAGGTCCCACCAGCTGTCTGCGAAAGGGTGTGTGGTTGGTGGACAGTCAGTCTGACACTGCAGATGGCCCTCAGGTGCATACCAAGCTTTGACAGCAGCGTGAGTGCCACCACTGATGAGGATGGAGGTCGGGAGCCACTAGCCTGCCTCAGTTTCCCACTTAGGGGTTGGTCTAGGCTACTGATAGTCACTTTTGAGCTCTTTCTTTCAAACAAAAGCTATTTTGGTCCTCTAGTGCTGCTCTGACTGAAAATACCACAAATGGATGGCTTTAACAAACGGATTTCTTCTCCTACATTTAGGAGGCTGGAAGTCCAAGTTCAGAGTGCCAGCTCTAGGGGCTGGGTGAAAACCCCTTGACCTTGGGCTTCAGCTCTGCCTCTTGCTCCTGGCCCACTGAAGCTAGAGCCATCTCTTAACCCAGGGAGCTGCTGGCTACTGAGAGTGACAAACCTGAAGTCGACAAGTGAAATGGCACAGTCCCCAAATTACCAAGCAACGTGGCAGGCCGTTAATTCAAGTCCAGAAACTGTCTCAAGATCGGCAGACAGCATGACAGGCCACTGAGATGAAGATTTGACCAAATGCAGGACCCAGATGTCCCAAAAAGCTAGAGACCTTTCTCAAAGCATCTTGTTATATACTGGAAGCAAACCACACCCCCCTAAGACAGCTACTCAGCTGCTCACAGTTTCCACCATGGAGTTGATTACTAGTCTCATCATGGGGAATAACTGTATCTATAACCAGCTGCCCAGCCACTCACTCAAAACCAGTCCCAGCCAAGTTGACACACAACCTTAACTACCACAAAAGCTTACAGAGGAGCACAAAACGTAAAATAGACAAAACAGCTTGCAGAAAGATGCATATAAGATTATCTTTCATGTAAAGAAAGGTACTACCCTGTATTTTCTTTGGTTACCATAAAAACTGGTTTCTGCCAAGTCAGTTCTGACTCATGCTGACCTCGTGCGTGTCAGAATAGAACTGTGCTGCATAGGGTTTTCAATGGCTGATTTTTCAGAAGTAAATCACCAGGCCTTTCTTCTGAGGCACCTCTGATTGGACTCAAATCACTAACTTTTCAGTTAGTACCCAAGTGTGTTAACTGTTTGCACCACCCGGTGCCTCCTTGGCTTACCGTGTATGTGCTTGTGTAGGTAGAGGTCTTGACAGGCCATAACAGTGCTTCCTTCCGAACCTGGGAAAAGAAGATTAAAATTAGAAAGGGCAGTCAAAGAGAACTTTAGTATTATCTGTAATTAATGTTTGAATTTTTACAAGAAGATGTAATCCATATCCCGGGTAAAATTAAAATTAATGATAGAATTAAACACTAACACAAGTAAGTGTGGGGCTGCTCTGGTTTAGGCCAGGTGGGGACCTGGACCTGTTTGCTGGACCCCTGAGGTTCCCTGGACAGACTCTGGGCCCAATGACCCTTGGCATAGCAGTCTGGAGCCACCCGCCATGGCTGGGCCATGGTTGTGGACTGCAGCCACCACATGGCTGGGCCTGGTGAGACAGGTGCCAGCTGAGTCCTGGCCACAGAGAACCATCACCTGCCTGCAGACCTGAGGCTACAGATGTCCCTCTGTGCTACTGGCCATGGGAGAAGAAGCTGAATCCTGAATCTCTCCTTTGTCTTCCTGTTGGCCAAGTTCATTGCCTCTTGGCGGGCTGGAGGGCTGTTTAAGGGAGGAAAAAAAGGCCATCTGAGGCATGAAGATAAAAAGGAGTCTTTAGCCATCCTAGGAGAGGATGGCTTTAGCTCCTGCGTTGTTATGTAAAGCCAGCCCTAATCCAGCCATCTTAACTGCCTTAACTGGCCAGCTGGGAGCATGAGGGCTAGGAGATTAAGGCCCAGCTTGGTGAGGGGGCTGGGGCTGCAGAGTTCCTTTTGAACAGTGGAAAGGACAAAGTAAACATCAAAGGCCCCAGCTCAGTGAGCTGACTGGGTGTGGCAGGGTGGAGGGGTCAAGCTTGTAGGGGGAGGTAGGAGAGAGGGACCCACCCTCTGCTGACACAACAGGGGTCTGAGGATAGCAGAGGGTGACCCCGTATTCACCTTCAACATCCACCTGGCTTCCCCTCCTCCTCATGGGCAGGACACCAGCTGGTGGCAGCCTGTGGCTTGTGCCCTGAGATGGAAATTGGTGCCAGGCCTGTTTGGCAGATCCGTGTCAGTCTGAGTGGCCCCAGGAAATGCCAGATCTAAGGATGTCCTCCTCACCTATCTCAGGCTGCAACTGCTGCCCTGTCCCCCTCCCTGACTCTCCATTGAAAATTCCCCATCGAAAGAGAAAGACTATAAATGACTGCTAGTCCCTTCTCTTTGCCTGTCTACCCAGTGTTGGCCCTGACCCTGGCCCTGACCAGCCTCTTGGCTCTCTCCTGTGTGTCATCACCCTCTTGGCCTCTGTCCACTGTCCCCAGCAGCCCTGAGTATGTGTTTCTTGTCCCTTGACCTCTTTGCTTGGGGTGAAAGTGGGCAGCGGGCTGCCTGCCTGGCATCTCTGTAGACAGCTGACTCTGCAGAGCCCAGTCCAGGTCAATGGCTCCGCCGCTCATAAAGGAGGCTCACAAAGCCACTGAAAGCAGGTATCCCCTCCCC